GTATATATATATAGATATAGATATATTCGGAATACTCATATGAGAGTACGCGCAGTTTGGAAAATGGTAGCTGCAAGAGGGATTTCCTGTACCGTTAAAAAAAAAACAAATTAAAAAAATTAGAAAAAATATTCCGGATTATCAAATAACGGGAAATCGCAAAAGGAAATCGAAATTTTTGAAAGAAAGATACTCCGGATTTCGAACAACGAAATTTTGAATTTTCAAAAGAGAATGAAAACGAAAATTTCAGGTGTTGCGCTGTTGCGATTTTCCACAACCGAAATAACAGGAAAACAAAATCCAAGAAAAGAAAAAGAAAACAATTGATTTTCGGCAGTTAGGTCAAATTCGCGATTTTGGGGGCTAATTAGTGTGCTCTAATCAATCAATCAATCAATCAAGACTAATCAACTAATTAGTCCTCGCACACGTGTCAGATCGGGTTGTCCTGATTCACGTGCGGTGTTCCGATACCAACTGTTACATGCCCAGTTGGGCAATGCATGTACAGCCAAGAATCCGCAATGTGATAAAAAGGATTGAATGGACAATGCGGTGTTAGTGGAATCCCAACAAGCAATGTACATCCTGATACATACAAAATGGCACCTTGTAGCGCAGTGGAAGACTTAGATATAAGCCCTGACCTGACCGGGACTGACCTCCCTCAAGTAGTACAAAACAGCGTAGCGGAATGCTAGAATACCAATGACTAGCCCAATCAATATCGCAATGCAGACCAAACATACATCATCCTCATCACACGGTGTGAAGGGGGGCCTGGCGCTACACATAGGAAGAATGCGCCAGGCCCAGACCATACACAGAGGGGATCAGACAAAGAGGAGGGGGAAGATGGGAATGTCGTCAACACCAAGTCTTCGGTACAAGTCTTAGATAATCCCTCGTCACATGTCTGAAGCCCAACGTCGAGTCTGGATCCCAATGTCACCAATCCCTCTCCGTCATAGTGTGCTGATGCAGTGAAGTCAGGTAGCAAGAGGGCGAGGAGGAGATGGTGGACTGAGAAGAGGAAGAAGAACTCTCTCGCTCTCTCTCTCTCATGTGCCAGGTACAAACCTGTTAAGATGGGGCGACGAAGCTGGAGCTATGGCGCTGCAGGTAAGTCTCCCTGGCCTCCGCCCAATCTCTCTCTCGCTCCAGTACTACTCTAGCTCCTACTAGCGCCCAGCGCTGAAGACTACTGCTAACGCTACTGCTACTACTGCAGCGCTCCTCCAGAGTGCTGCTGCCGAATCCTGAAGACTACCTCCTGCCTCCTGAACTGCACGTGAAGTGCCTGGGAAGTCCCTATGAACTACCTGCAGCCTGCAGGGCGGGCCAGTCTTATATAGTGCTGGCCCGTCCAGGAGGCTGCTCTTGGCGTTGAAGTTCAAACAAAGGTTGTCTTGAAAACAGGCCCAAAGTGGCCTGTGCTAAAACCCTGGTCTGGTGCGTAAGTTTCAGGGCAGGTGGATCTTATGAGGGCCTGAAAATGGCCCTCCGTTTCAGGCTGAAAAGACTCAGGGCCTGGAGGGCCCTGTTTTAGGCTGAAATGACACAGGGCCTGTAGGCCCTTGTTTTCAGGCTTTCAGGCTGAAACGACACAGGGCCTGTAGGCCCTTGTTTTCAGGCTTTCAGGCTGAAGCGACACAGGGCCTGTAGGCCGTTGTTTTCAGGCTTTCAGGCTGAAACGACCCAGGGCCTGAAAATGGCCCTCGTTTGCAGGCGCAGCATGTAACATTCTGGCAGGACACTGCTGTGTGAGCACTGCTTGAGAGCAACGCAGAGGCAGGACGCTGGCCAGAGGATTGCGCACATGGGCGCTGGGGCACAAACTGCTGGAGGCAGCTGACCACAGCGGCCATGGCCAACCCGCTCGTGCTGGGAGCAGCTGGAGATGCTGGGGCTTCTGGGAGGAGTAGAACCTGTGGAGGGACGAGACAGGGGATGAGTGAGGGAGAGGGACACGTACCTGGTCTTGTCTGGAGGTCTGCATGCACGGCATTTTCATGTACATCGGTCTGCTGCTCAAGTGTTCTTGGTAGCATCTCGTAGATTGTGGTTTGGGCGCCAGGCGCCATATAGAAGAGCGACATTGGAGACATTGTTGGTGCTGGCGAGATGGGGCCTGACATTGACAATTGAGTTCATTGCTTTGCTCTTATTTGGTGTGTAACTTGGTGCATTCTGCTTTCTGTTCAGGACACGACCATATGACTTTATATGTGATGATGCAAGTTGGCTTTCTGTCATTCACTCTCACTCATTTTCCTTGCCTCTCTGTCTTTGATATTTTATGCATCAATCTGTCTTTGAGAGAAAGAAAGCGAGAGATGGATTTAATATATATATATATATATATCGTCACTTATATACAGACAGAGAGAGAAACATGCGCACACACACACACACACACACACACACACACACACACAGAGAGAGAGAGAGAGAGAGAGAGAGAGAGAGAGAGAGAGAGAGAGAGAGAGAGAGAGAGAGAGAGAGAGAGAGAGAGAGAGAGAGAGAGAGAGAGAGAGAGAGAGAGAGAGAGAGAGAGAGAGAGAGAGAGAGAGAGAGTACCTCTATCTTTTGACGAAGCCTTGTGACTCTGGACATAGTATAAAGGAACTGCTCTGCAAGACAGAGAGTACACGGATCACCCTTGAAAGCAAGGCACAAAGGTATCTCCTCCTCTGTCGGTAAAACCTGTAAACAGCAATCATAACAGTACACATATGAACAGAGAGAAAGAAGATTTTTTTTTCTTTAAAAAAAAAAACGCAATGGGATTGCAATAACTCCACGTAAAATATGCGGTAGTCTTGAGCCACATGTCGACACTTGGGTTGCGGTAGTCTTGAGCCACATGTCGACACTTGGGTCTAAGGGCCATAACAAGGCCAAAAGCCACACCCAAGTCACAGAAATTGCCTGATACAAGGCCTGCTGCTGTGGGTACCCGAAGCACAGGCTAAATAGGGGTCTCAGAGGCCCTGTGTGCGACAGTTGACTGACAAAAGTCAAAGGTCAACAGCAGCTCGGAAATTCAGGCTCATGAGTCGAAGTCCACACGGTCCCAGTCCAGGCCACAGACCAGACACACACGTGTGATTGTTTGCAGGTATCTGTCAAGGATTCAGTCTAAGTGAGAATCTGCAACTGTATGGAATCCACGTCGTCGACCGCAGGTCAATCTGGGCTGCCATATCCATGAGACCAGAGGCTGGTCAAGACGAGTCAACACTGTAAGTAAACCCAGCCCCTGCTGACCGACATTCAGTCTTGCATTTGCTGCTCAACGCTGGCTCGATGCTGGCATATCGCTGGCTCGTCACTGGCTCTGTTCTAGCTTGTGGACGACGACACGAGACTGCTTGGCATTTACTTGACACTGGCACCATCTCTGTCTTGGCGCTAGCTGGATCCGAGACTATGCTGACGTGGCACTGGCCACATTGTCTACTTCAGAGACTATGCTGACGTGGCATTGGTCACACTGTCTACAGCATTGATTGGTGACTGGCGAGGAGGAGGATCAGGGCTGTGAGATTGGTTGGTCAAAGGGAAGCTTACCTGTTTGATGAGGTGCCGATATTGCGCATTGATGATCGTCTTCATGAGGTATTTGCGCTGACAAGCGCTACAAGGAGATCTGCTCTTTATCAGATTGCATCAGAGGAGACTGTTCGCTGATGTGGCGAGGGGAGATGCCCGAAGTCGAAGAGGGGAACCGAGGGAGTTCTATCTTCTACGCTGATGGTTACTTTCTCTTCCACCCTCTCAGTCTCATCTCCCTCCCACCATCTTCTCTGGTGACCAGACAGTGGGCTACTTGATGATGTAAACGATTATTTGGAGACATTGAGACTGCGCTGAGACATTCTGTATTTTGACATTGACGAGCTTCTATCCTGACTGGGTTCATTGCAATTTGGTATCAGAGAGATATCCTACATCCCTCGCCTCCTAATGCGCGCACATGTGGTGATCGCGCGACTGTACTCTCACGCGCGCTTTTATCCGATTGGATGATGATGATGATGAGATGATGACGTGGACTAGGGATCTTCTCTTCCTTCTTTGGTGTGTCTGTTACTGGCTTGACATAAGCGACGAACACCTGTTCCTCCGGCTGCTCCTTTCTGACAAGTCGAGCAAATGCAATAACACTAAGGCAGCAGTGCGCTAGGGAGTTGTCTACCCCTGACTCATGATACAGGCGGGCTTTCTTGACCGCACCTAACAGACTTAGAAGCCTGCACTCGTGCTCTTGAAGGCGCAGAGTGGCCCCGGCTGCCTCTCCCCAATCGGTGCCTAACACTATATCGAAAGGGAGGTTCTCTTCCACAAGGAGAGTCAAGGAGTGAAGGACTTTCTCTACCTTCTCTCATTCCTCTAGGCGAAAGTACGCCTCGACTCTTTGGACGTATTCCTCGACCCACATTGTGCGGTTGTCTGCGGGGATACTAACTATAATGTCATCTAACTTTTGGACTTTGAGGCCTAGAGTCACCGTATGAACTGCTCATTTGTACAATCAATATGTCAAATAAATGAGACGTTGTAGAAGTCCACAACGAGACGGACACGACTTATTCAACGCCGTTGAAGATACTCGTAGTGAAGAACTCGCAGCGAAGACTCAAGCTCGTCGTGAAAGGGGATCACTGGGAATAACCAGCCCTTGGTTGAACCCCGACCGTGTCTCTGATACGCAGCTGAACGGAATACTCGTGAACGTGAGATGCTGGTGGGATAATTGCCCGGACGTGTTCGGCAAGGCCGATCCGCTACAAGATCGCACGTCTTCCCTGGCACCATCATTGACAAATGAGCTGGGAAGAAAAAATCATTTTTTTCCATACGTTGAATCATGTAAGTTACATATAATCTAAGCATATATTCAAGAACTCTCCAGAGAGACACTTGAGAGTAATTCTGTAAGGTTGTACTTTGAGAATTGAATAACCACTGTATTCCATCTTCATATTTATTCCAAATTGTGTGTAAAGATAAAGAATCCTCACGAAAAGGTAACTTGATCAATTTTTGGATATTTTCTCCTTTATAGAAAGTAAGACTTGAAACTGATGTTTTTTGGACTTCCATTTTCTTTTTGAGAACAGAGAATTTCTTTCTATTGGCTTAAAAACTGACGCACCTAAAAAATCAGTATAGTTATTAGTTAAATGTAAACACTCAGGGATACACTTACGAGCTTCAGATTCTTGAGGAGCACTTGACGACTGATACAACTCCTGGTGGCCCCATTGTCTATAAGGGTCCCTACCCTCGCTCTAAAGACCTCTGTATCTGCTAAGATGAGCTGCCCTTTCCCATCTTTTTTCATCTTGGGCCAGGCCTGCCTTCTCTCTTTCAACTCTTCGGCGAGACTTGTGAGGGAAGTGCCTAGAGAGATTCCAACACAAACAGTCTTTGGACAACTAACTAGGCGCTGGCCAGCAACCTCTGCCACGGAGATACGAGTGGGAGTTTCTATCTTGCGCGCACACTCGTCTCCACGTACTCCAGGGGTAGGGGCAGTTGCTACCTCTATCGGCGGTTGCCTTTTGCTGCCCCACACGCAGCATTCCGAAAACCCTGGTGCCGCGGGCAGAATAGATAATGTGCCCGACATTACCGCAGAAAACGCATTGATAGCGATTCACACGGTCCTGCCATACATTCTGATATATTCCAAGGGTTCCCAGGGCTGGCCTTTAGGTCGTCCAGGGTGCCATCCACCCCTCCTGGGAGGTGATCGACTGGGATTAGGGCGGTTAGACGGGGGACGCTGCCCCCTTCTTCCCACTTGGCGATCTCTGTTGCCACCAACCCCCTGCCCGCATTGTCCACGACCACTTGAGGGCTGGCCATTCTGATTTTGGCCACGAACTCTTCCTCCAGGCCTCGCTCCGACCGTGACAGTAGTGTAGGAACTCCCCTTCTCTAAACTATTGCCTGCCTCTTCTTCGGGTTCCCATTTAATACCACAATAGGGGACTTCTTCAGCATCACCTTCCTCCATCATCAGGATCGAACTGTCTTTGGCTTAAACTTGGCCAGAGATGGTGAGTCCTTTCCACTTCTTGCCCTTTGGCGCAACTTGAGCAGCAAATGCAACAGCCTCTCGACTAAGGACATCGTAAGTCATGCCTGGCTGTTGCTTTTTGGCAAAGAAGTGCCCTTGCAAATGCTCAGGCAACGCGCAGTAGAACAGTTTGACAAGTTTGGTCGGGCACTGCGATGAGCATGGCCATGACGGACTTCAGAGCGTGTACACTCCTCTATTGCCGCGTATGGATCATTTGGAGCTTGTCAGACGCCTTTATCCCACTAGAGACGTTTGCGAAGCGTTCTCAAAGCGAAGCGAGAAAATCGCTAAGATGGGTGAGGGCAGAGTACGCTACCATATCGTTTTCACAGCGGGCAGCGTGTGCGAGCGACCTAGCGAAGCTAGTCGCTTCCTCTCTCAGGGTCTGGAAAGCTATCAGTACATGATCCCCCTAGGGAATGTCCTACAAATGCAAATAGGATTTGGCATTGGCTTTCCCAATTATCAAAGTCCTCTCCATTCTTTCCATTGTAGGGCTCAGGGAAGAGGGCCTTGGCTCTCTCAAGGCGTGGGCGTTGCTCTTCTTCCTTAGGGACTGCGACCTTAACTCCCTCTATGGCACCGACACAAAACTTCTCAGTGCCTTCTATTGGGTGCGCAACTCACTTGAGATGCTGAGCATCATGTCCTGCGCAAAATCTTGGAATCCTAGCCGCATGGACTCCGATGCAATGTCGTGGCCCCTTAGATGCCTTAACTGCTCTTGCTGAGCTTTCAACATAGCATCCATACCATGGGAGATGGTTTCAAATTTTCGGTCTGTATCTGCATTATCCCCCAATTTTCCCAGCCGTTCTTCTACTGCCCTCGGTTCCTTCTCCATCTGGTCTGCCACCTCCTGTCGCCTCGTCTTTTCCCTTGCGAGGCACAACTTCCATTCCAATTGCTTTTCTTGCTCCCTGGCCTGTCGGCGCATGGGATCCTCCTGTCGTTCCAACTCCTGAATTTCCGCCTCCCTTTCTTCTCGGGGAACAAACATCTTTGCCTCTTGTTCTTCTCCCAGGGATAGGTTAGCTGCCCATTCCTTCACCATCCTCACTGTATCCGTTTCAGAGGGCCGCCTAACACTTGTCTCCCCTCTCTCTTCCTTCACCATTGTTGTTTGTCTTTCTCCTCCTCTTCGCAGCAGTGTCCCTTCTTCCTCCTCTTCTTCAGCCTCTACTGCTGCCATCTTCGCCTCTTGCTCCTTCTGCAATCTCTCCATCTCCTCCTCCAACTTCTTCTTCTTGGTCGCATGTTCTTCAAATAGAGCCAACTTCTTGGCTTGTTCCTTCGGGGCGCCCTGAGAATTGCGGCAGCCCTCGCCTCCTGCTCCTGGGTGTATGGGGGACGGTCTCTTGGCCGGATTTGGTCACTGGAGTACCAAGAGGAAAGAAGTGGTAAAGGACTCCCCAGAGGGAGAAGCCCGTGAGCAAGGCGAACATCGGGTAGTGATCCATGCTGACAGGGCACAATCACTGATGATTCCACTCCTCAACACTTAAGACTTACCCCTAGACTAGGACTACTGAGGTCTCTCTTATGCTTCAGCCAGGTTACCACAGTCGTCGGATGCTTTCACAACCACAGTCACCAAAACTTTCGACAGCCTTCGGATGCGAGCACAACCACAGTCACTGAAACTTTCCACAGTCGTCGGATTCTTTTGCAACCACTCTCACCGAAACTTGCCACAGTCGTCCGATGTGCTCGCAACCACTGTCATCCAAACCCACCTGGCTTCTGCTTCAGATTGACACTCTGTCAACTACTCGTCTCTAGCCTAAGCTAAACACTAGTCTGTCACTACATGACTTTTTGGATGATCAGGAGGCATTTAAAGAGATCTCCCATAATTCCTCAAGAATTCTTTAACGTCACAAATAGGACGACAATCACAGCCAAAGTCCTCTCAAGACTTGGACAGACTGGACACCCGCTCTGCAGCTTGAAGTTCAGGTATAGTATGCCACCCAGAGCAACCTGCCGGTCTGTACTGGTCCTTCAGGTGTTTTCCCAGGTCGTCTAGTGTCAGACACACCTCAAAACCTACTAAGTCCCGTGGAGGCGCTGGCTCACAGCCCCTATCTGACCACATGCACAGAACCTATCGACCTGGACAGAAGTGACTCAATGCAGAAAGAAATGATGACTGACTCTCAGCAAGTACCAAGATGAGTGTGCAGCATCCACAAGGCAAAGGGATAGGGCCAGGGCTTTAAGAGAATATACCGCTCCTCGCTCTGCACTCCAACTTCGTCAACAGTACCGGTCAACACTCGTCGGTCAACGCTTGGTCAAACTCCGCCGATCCAACCTCGATCCACGCCGGTCAACTTTGGTCAACCCCTCTCAGCTCCGGTCAACGTTGGCCATGGCGGCTTCTTCTCCCTTCATAACTTTCGTCAACTCGCCCTCCTTCTTCCCCGCCCTCAAGTTCGGCTATGGCCGACTTCTCCTTCCTCTTGTCGGCTATGGCTCCCCTTCACCTTTGTCACCTCTCTCTCTCTTCTCTTGCATCACTTTCTTCTTCGTTCACGATAGTCTCTCTCCTCCGAGTTCGACGGCTATGGCGGACTGTTTCCTCCACGAGCATCCCTCTCTCTCTCTCCCCTCTTTGTGGCTTCTCTTCTTCTCGCCGGCGGCAGTTGCTATGGCATGGACAACAGGAATGAGCTCTACCAATGGGATCAGACTCAACTTCAAGCTCACTTCGAGCATGCATACATACAGATGCTGATGGCAGAAGAACTTGCACAAACGCATAACCAGCAATAAGCGTGACTTGGCGCTCGGCGCCCACACAGAAAACTCAGAGATATGGCCTCTGGCCAGGAACTCAGTTTAAGTCTACTTTCACAACTTGTGGCTATGGCCGCTGAACATTGTCTGAATTCCCACCCGAACACTATATCCACCATCAGACACTCTACACTCGCTCACGCATATGTTCACGTACACTAGGATCTACCCTGAATGTCCACACATACACATCACACATGCACACACTCGCTGCTGACGCTCTACACTGGCGGCTATGGCCGCCGTCTTCCTCCTATCTTCTACGTAGCAGTTATGGCCGCCGTCTCCTCCTTCCTGCCCACTTCGCCTTCGGGCATCGGCAGTCCTCCAACGCACAAGACACTCGGGCAGCGCTTCCGCGTCACTTGCAGAATGAATGAATGGCTGGGCGATGCCTCTGTATTTATACTGTTTTGTCGATGGTCCCACCTGGCACTTGTTGACTGGACGAAGTAGACTGGGACTAGGCACTGGCACGGCTAGGACTGGACCTCCCTTCGCTGACTCACCTACGGGCAATTGACCTCTGCAGTACCGAAGAGCCAACTACGGACTTCTAGAAACTCCTGGGCCTAGACTGACTGACTCTTCGCAAGACTTAGAGCTAACTTATGTGACAGACCCTACGACTGCTAAAACTAAGACTCACGGTTCAAGTCCAAGCCACCAGACAGTACACACAGACCGCTGACAGATGACTTTCGGGCCAGGTCGCGGGTCAAAGCATACGGGGTCAACAGGCACTGTACAAGGGATCAGGGTAAGGTCTAGGGATTTAGCCCTGGGATCTGCAATTGTCATGCGAACTGGGTGAACCCATTTCAATACTCCCAGCTCACTGTGACCAGCACTAATGACCATCACCCTACCAGTAACACCGGCAACTTGGACCAGACAGCAGTGACAAGCACCAAGGCTGGGCCAACCCCCCAGCCCTAGTGGAAGCAGAAGCAGACGAACATTGCCGTACGGGAACTTCGGACGCCAGGCAAATGCAGTCTTCTACAGGCCCAATATCGGAGTTCAGAGCTCCTATTCTTAGGGCAAATTCATGCTAAAGGGTTTTTTCGCTTTGCTTTTGTTTTCCCTTCTTGAGCTTTTTCGTTTCTTCCCACGCAAAGAAAGCAGTGCTGTTTTCTTACGGCATTTTTTTTCGCTTTCTCCTGCACCGAAGTTGGATTGCCCATTGAGAATTGCTTTTTATCCTGTTGTCCCGGGGGTGGAGTTTTCCCCTTTTCTGCTTCTTTCCTCTTGTGCCTGGGGTGGTGGGGTGGAGTCGGCGCTGGGGTTCTGACTTGTTCTTCTTAATAAGATGTCCGAAAGGTAACCGGACGTTGGAGAAAGTAGTGAGTTGATAGGGGATTTGACATTGGACTTTGCTGGTGCACATCTTCTTCTTCTTCCTCCATTTCTCATTTCTTCTTCTTTTGTCTATTTCTCATTCCAATTTTTGTCATTTCAGTTGCAATTGAACGGCATTGAATTCTTTTGGTGTTCTGCACTGTAAGATAACGGATCATAACGCAGTCATGATCAGGGTGTGTTATGTTCCCCAAATCGCAGCTTTCGAGAACGTGAAAAGAAGAAAGAATTTCAGGCCTAGGGCGCAGCCCCCCGAAAAAAGGAAGATGCGCTGCCGTTCCCATTTCTTTTAATGAAGGGCTGAGGGGCTGTACCCCATCCCACCCCTTTTTCTTGGGGAATCCTGGATTTTGTCAGTCCGGCACATGATGTGCAAGCCCCTCATGTACAGTGTGCCATGAACTGCAAGTATGGTACAAACCCATAACGATCGGAGCAAGCAACAACATAATGAGGGAAAGGCCCCACTGGTGGTATACTAGGAAAGCACAAGAAACCTTCAGAACAATCATGGGCCTTACAGTCCTTGCCAAAACAGGCCCAGACTGACACATTACCACCCTTCTGCTTTATCTACCCCCAAATTAAGACTCTAAACCTTTCTACATAGCCAACTTACGCGCAAAGAACCGTTCACACACCCATCATCAACTAATGCTGTCTGCGGCCTTTATTTCTTGCACCAGGACTGCACTCAGCTTTTCAGGAAAACGTTCCAGGACGGAAATGTTCTGATTGAGAACAAATGACTCACCTGCAGCAACAGTTTCAATTTGTCAAGTGTGTCGTCTGATTGAGAACAAATGACTCACCTGCAGCAACAGTTTCAATTTGTCAAGTGTGAACACCCCTTCAACTTCCCCACTGAGAACAGCGTTCTTGATCTTCTCAAATGGCATCTGCAAAGATATCAAACGTGGACAAGTAGAACCAAGTGTGCACCAATTTGTCAATCGTGAAGTTGCCGTGAACACACCTTCAACATCCCCACTCACAGGGTGTTTGTCATTTTCTCAAACGACAAGAGAACCAACACTGTCCACCATAGTCACCAAAACATCTTGTCATAAGAACATGCTGGCATTCCTTTTGGAGGTCATTTGCAAACACCAGTGCCTTCCACAGGGATTTTTGTGGCTCGACTCTATCACATGGCTCATTACAACCCAGAGATCCAGAAACCCGATGGGGGTAGAACTGAGGCTGCAGACACCATGGGGTGTCTTCACAATTTTAAAGCCAAAAAGGTGTGTGCAGCGATCAGCATTTTGACAAAAACAGATTGGGCTCATTACCACAATTGGTCCAATAAGAGAGAGAACTTTCAACTGAATGCAAAGATGAGGATCTGAAAACCCTGTTGAACTTGGGCAACCACAAACACTTCGATTGGTGGGATGGGATGAGATCTTAATACCATCTTAGACACATGGATAGCCTGGTTCTGAGCAGGGGAGAAAGACATACCCATACCATTCAACTCTACAAGAATACCCATAGGGAGGCTTCCCAAAGAGTTTGAATCTACCTTTGAGGTTACCCAACGAACCAAATTGCTCAGCCCCATCCAGTTTAGTGACATGTGCCACAGAGTCATTGCTATGTATGAAAAAACGCTTCTCAAGTTCTCAACAAAACGCCTTCACTACCTTACATCCTGTTTTTCCCTGTGGCTGACTTGAGCTCGCAACTTTCACTACCGTCTTCACCCGAATAGAACGCCCGTTTCGGTCCAGAAGCAGCAATAATTACCTGTTGCTCTATTTGGGTGAAGACCGTAGTTTGAAAGAGACCAAAGAAAAGTACCGATCACTCGTGGGGCACTAGCAGAGCTGGCGATGTTGGAAACCATGATGTTGGAAACCAATTTGAATCATGGAAATAGCACCCACTGTGCCCAAACCAACTTTAGAAGAATACAAACACAAAGCACACTTCATCAAAACGACAGGAAACACAAGACGACAGTCAAACATAGATGAAAGCAAACATGCACACTACAAGAACAAATAGATTTTTGCAAACATACTGCCATCCCCTTTGTCACATTGATCGAGAAGCAATAGTAGTAAAGTGAAGCTTCAATAATACCTTAAATTGTGTTAGCATGATTGCCACATTGTTTGCCCTTGTAATTGTCACCAACTGCACTGTAGCCTGTGATTTCGTGCTTGTGACCGCTGGAGATTTACGCTGCTTCACTTTGAATAAATAATGTAGTGCATCCCGCCGTTGCTTGCTAAATGCAATAAGTGCAAGAAGTTCGTGCTCCTTACTAAGGTCCTCCCATATGGTCCCGCTAATTCTGTTAACCTTTGTCCAGTAGATGTTCCTCAGGTTATAATCTGGCTTTGGACCAACGGCCCCCAGGTCACGAGTTATTATTGGTGCTCCAGGTCGGCCAGGCGGCAGAGGGGGACCTCTGGGTCCACCTCTCCCAAATGGTGGAGGCGGCGGCCCCGGGGGACCAGGTGGTCCAGGTCGACCTGCTGCTCCAAAAGGTGGGGGGGGTGGCGGGGGACCAGGTGGTCCAGGTCGACCTGCTGCTCCAAAAGGTGGGGGGGGTGGGGGACCTCTTACACCAGGTGGAGGAGGACGGGGGGGGGGGGGAGGAGGAGGCGGGGGGGGGGGAGGACCTCCTCTTCCAGTAAAGGGAGGGGGGGGGGGGGGGGGGGGAGGACCTACTCTTCCAGTAAATGGAGGAGGAGGTGGGGGAGGTGGAGGAGGAGGTTGTGGAGGCAGATGAGGGGGCGCAACTGTTCCTGGAAATGGGGGGCGAATCGGGGGAGGTCCTGTAGGCACAGAAGGCAGGGAGCCTCCCATTGAAAAAGGTGGAGGACGAGGTGGAGGCTGGTGATGGACTCCAGGTGGAGGAGGAGGTGGAGCAGGTGGGCCAGGGACTGCAGATGGTACGATACTGGCAGGGGGTGATTGAGGGTGGTAAGACGAGGTAGGGCTACTGCCTCTACCTGGTGATTGCACAGGTCCTTCAGAATTAGTTGCCTCTGGGCGAAATGAGCCACTTTCTTTTATATCTGGGCGCGAGAATGGAGGGGTTAGGAGATGAGGTACTGAAGCACCATCGAAGGGCAGTCCATCAGACCTCGGGGAAGGTGGCTGAGGAGGACCCGTGGCTCCATCAGCAACTCCAGGAGCTGCAGCTGGGAGCGGATGTGATTGTGAGACTGGCTTCGCTGGAGGTGTCGTCAATACTTTTAAAGGCACATTCGCATCATGACCAGCTACATTCTCTTCAGCAACATCAGGCAATACTGGCCTTGCTGCAGCTTCCTTGCCACTAGGGCACGGATTGGTTTCAAATGTGCCACTTTCTTTTACATCTGGGCGCGAGTATGAAGGGGTTAGGTGATGAGGGACTGAAGCACCACCCAAGGGCAGTCCATCAGACCTAAGGGAAGGTGGCTGAGGAGGGCCCGTGGCTCCATCAGCAACTGCAGGAGCTGCAGTTGGGAGTAGATGTCCTTGTGGGACTGGCTTTGCTGAAGGCGTCGTCAATACTTTTAAAGGCACATTTGCATCATGACCAGCTACATTCTCTTCAGAAGGAGATTCACCATCAGGCAATACTGGCCTTGCTGCAGCTTCATTGCCACTAGGGCACGAATTGGTTTTACCAGACATAGCGAAAGGGGACATTCCACCAGAATGGCTTGAGGGAGTTGCTGAGGACTGAGTACCAGCAACAGGAACAGTTGTCTCGATTCTTGTGCCTGACACGGTGACCCCATAAGGTGCTGATTCCATACCACCCTTGGCAGATTTTCCATCTTCTCTAGCTTCTTCCACTGAGCCACTCCACGGACCAGAGGCAATCTGCCCAGTGTTCTTCACCTGCCCTTCCTCCCCTGCAGCTGAGTTGGCACTGCCCATTACTTGAGTCTGTGCACTTGACATCTTGCCACTTGACTTCCGCACCATATTTTGCTTTCCTAATCTAAGTGAGACCCATTCAGAGGGGGGATAATCGCTTGTGCCTGGTTCTTCAAAGTCAGTCCTCTCAGAGGGGGGATAATCACCAAGCCTCTTCCCCGAGGGTCGTAGAAACGGCAAATGAAGCCCGCCTTCAGATGAGTGGCGTTTATGCCCATCATGACCGCCCTCATCACCAATGCCACTTGCGTCGGAGCCACTCCTGAAAATATTTGACACAGGAAAGCCATCCCAGCTGTCCTTTTTAGGGATTGGCAATGAAAGGCCACCACTAATATTATGTGTTGGCCTGTTGCCAGCGGGTACCCCAACTTCAACATTCTCAGCAGAATCCCTTTCCTGAGGGGCTTTTGATGCTGTAGAGACAGAAGCATCAGACGAAGGCAGTTTATATTTCCCTTCAGTCCGGGCAAAACTTGCACTTGACACAAGTAAGGAGTGTTGAGGACTTCCGTGAGCACAAACACTCCCCGTACCAAAGGATGGGGAGTGTTTTGTCTCAGGAACCTGCTCTGAAGAGAAGGACTCGCTCTCCCACCTGGACGGCTGGTCCGATTTAGCTCCCCCTTGGCTAGAGGCATCAATGCTCTCCGCCTTCCCGAAAGTCGACATCTCTGGAATGGTTGGTTTCAATCCAAGGTCCAGTGAAGGAGGTTTGTTGTTTGCTTGTATGCTGTCAAAGATTGTTGGAGCTGGTGCAGTTGAGATACGGCCCAAGCGTGCGAGCATTCTCCCAGCTTGCTTGACAGCTGTCTCTGCCTCAAGTCTCTGTTTCAACGCGTCGACTGAATGTGCAGGCATCTCTGATGCCTCCTCGTCCTCTTCCTCAGAGCAGTGTGCTGCATTATTGATCCTCTCAAGAGCCCTGCATCAGAGCCAAATCCAAACCACATTCTTGTTAGTGACAGCTGCTCAGCAGACAAAATGAGTGGCTGCAAAGGAGAAAAGGCACAAAGAGGAGTGCATAACCATAGCCAATGTTAAAATGACTTGGCACTTGCACAGGACTATTCCAGTTGGGTACCTTCTGAGTAATTTCAGCATCCAAACCTTGAGCCAACTGCTCGGTCCAAACCTAGGGACCAAATGTTTCATAATTTACCTAGTACCGAGCAGGGTTGGAGCAAATACGCTCAGGGTCCGTCGGCCGTGATGGGAAGACGCAATACATACCAAAGTCTCAGGGTCCGTTGGCCATGATGCGAGAGAGCGCTGAGTAGCTATACAGTTCTCTCTTACCACTGGGTACAAATCGTGGCCACATCTCAGCCGCTTAGACGAGAGAATATCAACCCTTCCCGTGTGAAGAGAGGAGGCAGGCCATGTTGGTCAGTGCAATAAAAGCTGCTGCCACCCCCAGTCTACATATCCGCTGTTGGGCACATTTGCTGGAGTGCTGCTGACGAGAAGAGCGTCAGCAGAAGGCGAACACTAGCACCAGAGACAAAGCGAGTGAGAGAAGAAGCCATAGCTGGAGAGTGAGAAACGTAGCCGTGGCTAGAGAGTGAGAGAAAGTGGTACCCACAGTTGGCAGGATGAGGTGCTCAGGCACTCTAGCTTGAGAGAGAGGGAGGTAATGAGGGAGACACAATGGACAGCACCGGAAAGAAGAGTGAAGCTCATGTCGGACGTACATACTACCCAATGTGGTTGGACACGAAGGCATCACACTGCTTTCAAGGCCAGCATTTTCTTTTTTCCAATGCTGACATTAATTGTTGAAAGAACAGCCCCGAATAGGAATCGGCTTGGAACAGTGACATTGTGCTTTGCAGAGTATATTGATGGAGAGAGTCAGATTAACAGTAGTAAGAGACAGGTTGATGACATTGCAAGGTGGCGTTTGATAAGCAGCCCAGAGGTAGCAGAATGGAGACGACACATAAACATTGCATTTTACTATTACATGCTTGAGTTATTCTCTCCATGCTATGCTGTTGCTACTCTTTGTCTGGTCACGTGACATTTTTGCTATCCTTGCTAAGCTGTCATTTATTTGAGTTTTAAATTTTGAGAGTATATCCAGAATGACGATGGTGTGAGCTTCTGGAGTTGGTTTCATTACAATTTTGGCACCTCAGTGGTTTTTGAAAGGATTTCACGCACCTCAGGATACGAGTTCCAGTGTTCCATGTACCTTACTGCCTATCAATATGTAGGGCAGTTAGGTTCAGTATGTAGGCCCTGTAGGACCCGGTAGTGTTATCGGTCCAGTCAGTCCCATCTGTCAGTGAGTCAAGCCCTGATGGCAGTTCAGCAGCATGAAAGTCAGAGAAACTACCAAATGCCTCGAATGTCGACTATAACGGGAATGTCTAGCGGCAGCAAAGCATCAACACAATTTCCATTTGAGCTTGCTGCGGAAGCACTGTCACCAGCTTGCACCACCACCCATAGAGTGATGTCGAGAGGCAATTGAAGAGTGGTCAGCTGCACCGGCACCATAGCTTAGGTGTGTGTGTGTGTGTTACAAATTATCACCACAACTTCCTCTATTCCGCCCAGATGAGTAGATCCAAAGTCATAGCAACTTTACCTATATTGCAGACAATGAAGCATGCTCGAGATGAGCCAATCCACCAATGAGACAGTTTTGCTTGTGAAGTCAATATCTATTCAGAACCTTACCTTTAATCAGACAAGGAATCTCACCTTTACACAAGCAATGCAACACACTCGAGATGGGCCATCCCAACAGCAAAAAGAATACGAGACACAGTAGATTTGTTAGTATATTACATCGTTTTCTTGATTATTTTTTCATCAGCCAGCATTGGGAGGCCTCCCATGTTCTTTGTTTTTGCAGTTACCCTCTTACTGTGCCGATCACGTACAAGGCTGGCCACGTTGATGATGGTTGAGCGCCAAATGCCCATATCCCCGTGTGCCTTTACGGCCCACTTGCACGTTATATAAGGAGGCAGAGTGAAAGGGTAATTATATTTTGTCTGTTCTCTCAACGACGCTCATTCATATGCGTTTACTAGTAGTACACAAGGAGAGGGAGTAGACAACAGGGAGGAGGACAAGAGAAAATGAGAGAGAGAGAGAGAGAGAGAGAGAGAGAGAGAGAGAGAGAGA